AGGGAATAGATAATAGATTTAGGGTTTTTTAGTGAGGGAATGCCTTATTATAATGTTTTAGGAGTTAAGCCACAACTAGTTAAATTGTTTATAGTATGATACCAGAACACGGAAGCCATATTCTTGATTAATGGAGAACAAAACCAAACATTTTGATAGTTATTTAAAAAAAGGTATTCTATTTCTTTTTTTTAGAAAGTAAAACTAGTTCACTTGGTTGGAACAGTCATGATCTGTTGTGTAACAAATAGAAACGCAGATTTTCATGATCTCATTTAGTAAAGTGATTAGCAACCTTCTTAATCAAGCTTTACCAACCATGACATAACATCACGTCACTGGTCTAGCAGTTGCAGCCAGTTCAGATCCAGAGGAGCTTTTGGTTCATGCTCCAAAACAAGCATAGATTAAAGTCCATTAAAAACCCTGTGGATCAGCATTGTCGCTGCTCTTCATTCTTCTTTTTTTTCTCCAGGTTTGTGGCTGGACCTGGAGCTGGTGTACACAGGCTGCCTTCAGATGACCCTGGAGACTAAGATGAACCTGGGTAAGCTGGGAAAAGAGGGAGAGGAAGAAGCTCACATTTCTGAAAACCTGCAAATGGGGTGAGCCTCTGTGGAAAAGGTCCCATGAAACACGTTTGGGCTTAGAAAAGAAAATAAATCAGAACTCAAAGGTCTTCAGCAACCCCTACAACTTTTTCTTTCAGCTCTAAGCCTAAGCTGTGTATATTGGTAGACAGCGATGAAGAGTCCTCCAGTGCTGCGTCTTCTGATGAAGAGGAAACACCCCTATCTGATCCACAGAGTTCACTGGTTGATAAGAATGCTCCTGTAGGAGCTGATGGGTAAATCTCAGCTATGAACATTGTTGAATTATGGATGAATAGCAGATCAGTTGTCCTTAAGCACACCTGTGTGGTTTTTACCCATTACAGGCATGCAGGTGGTCGTAAAGGCAGGAAAATCCTGAGATTTGTGGACAAGATAACAAAATCCAAATACTTCCAAAAGGCCACAGAAAATGAGTACATCAAGAAGAAAATAGCTGAGGTCTCCAACATGCCCCTAATACTCAGTGTGGAAGTCCTGGAGCTTTCTGGATCACTGACCATCAACATACCCCCTCCTCCTACTGATAGGATATGGTACTCAATCTTTATATTCATAAATGCTTTTCTTGTGCATATGGGACAGCTTCTCTGTCATGTTCCTAACATTTTTCTGGTTTCAGGTACAGTTTCCGAGTGCCTCCCAGGTTAGACCTCTATGTACGCCCCATGCTGGGTGAGAGGGAAGTTACCTTCACTCATGTGACAGAGTGGATTGAGAAAAAACTGCAGTGTGAGTTCCAGGTCAGTCCTTCAATCCATGGGCGTAGGTTTGCATAGGGACCATAGGGACATGTCCCTACCAAAATTTTGGATGGACCTATTTGTCCCTACCTATAATTGGATGTGAACAACATGTTTATAATTTACTATACAGCAGCCGCTTCTTTTCCTCTCGCAGCTTCTCTGCCTGGTAGCTGCAGCTGCCTGCTCTTT